TAACCATTGTTGACTTAAAGTCTATTTTATCTGACATGAAAACAGGTACTCCTGCTTGCTTTTGGTTTCCATTTACATAAACTATTTTTTTTTATTCTTTCTCTTGAGTCAATGAGAGTCTTTGTGAGTTAGATGCCTTTCTTGAAAACAACATATACTTGGTTGTGTTTTTTCATCCAGCCAGCCATGTATATCTTTTGAGCATTAAGACCATTTATGTTCAATGTTAGTATTGATATGCGAGATATTGTTCTGTTCATCATGTTTAATGACACCTTGTTGTTCTGTTTTTCCCCTTGTGCTGCTGTTTTATAATAGCTCTGAGTATTAGTATAATACCTCATACTTTTAGGTGTTTTCACACTGGTGGGTTTTGGTGTTCTATTCCATGTACAGAACATTTTTAAGCATTTCTTTTAGGACAGGTCTAATGGTGACAAATTCCCTTAGTGTTTCCTTGTCTGGGAAAGACTTTATTTCTCTTCAATTTATGAAACTTAGTTTTGTCACATACAAAATGATTGGCTGACAGTTATTCTGTTTAAGAAATCTATAAGTGGAATTCCTATCTTTTATGGCTCATGAGGTCTCTGCTGAGATATCTGTTGTTAGTCTGATGTGTTTTCCTTTGTAAAATACCTTGTTGCTTTTGTTTCACAGTTAATAGAATTTTATTCTTCATTTTGACTTAGGCCAGATTGATGACTATGTGCATTGGTGATGTCCTATTTGCTATGAATCTTCCAGGTGTTTGATGACTATCTTGTACCTGGATATCTAAATCTCTGGTGATACCAGGGAAGTTTCCCTCCAATACTCGCTCAAATAGGTTTTCCATGCTTTTTCTTCTTCTCCCTCAGAAATACCTATGATTCTTATATTAGTTCATTTTACATAGTCTGATATTTCTCTGATGGTTTGTTCATTCTTTATTCTTTTTTCCACATTTTTGACTAATGAGGTATATTCAAAAGCTGGGTCTTCAAGCTCTAAAATTCTTTCTTCTGCTTGGTTTAGTCTGTTTTTAAATGTTTCTGCTGTGTTTGGAAATTCCCTAAATGACTTTTTCATTCCTTTAAGTTCTATTATATCTCTTTTCCTATGTTATGTATCTCTTTAGAAAATTTTTCTTTCATGTCCTAAATTATTTTTTAGATTTCTTTGTGTTGGTTTTCAACTTTCTCATCAATCTCATTCATCTTATTTGCCATCTGTATTCAGAATTCCATATCTGATATTTTGACAATATCTTTAGGTTGGGGTTCATTGATGGAGACCTACTATGATCCTTTGGAGATGTCAAAACAGCTTGTTTTTTCATATTGCCAGAGTTCCTATACTGATTCCTTCTCATCTGAAACCTCTTCTGTGAGCTCAAGACAGATAAATTTGTGGTACACCTGTTCTCCTCTGCTGGGAACTCTCCTACTTAGTGCAAAGAAGGAGAAATCCCTGGATGATGCACTTGTGTCCTACCCCAGAGATCAATCCTAGGAGAGGGGTGAATGCATTATGAGCATTTAACACTGCTGCTCTCTTGTGCCTCCTGTTTCAACCTGTAGTTTTCACTGGCAGTCCACATGCTAAAGAGTAAGTGGTTGCCCTGCCTAGTTCTGTCAGCAGTGGTGATTGTCAGCCCACGCCAGCTTAAGAGCTGCCCCACCCAGATCTGCCAGTGATGATGTCTGCCCACATGGCTTGAGAATAGTCCCACTCATGTCCACAGCCAGCAGCAACAGCATTCACCCCACCCAGGTCCCCCAGTAGCAGCAGGAGCATGCAGCTCCTGCCCACAGGACTCATGACAGTAACAAGCCTCCCTGCTCCCTCCTGGTCCAGTAGGGATGATGGGGAGGCAGTAGCAATGGATCTGACCTCTGGGTAGAGGCAGCACTCTAGGATTTCAAAATGGCACCAGCCATAGCGCAAAAGTGTGCAAGCCACTGGGTCCTCACTGTGCCTTCTCTCTGGGGCAATGTTGCTGCACATTCTCTAGTCAGCTCCCAGTCAGCTCCCTATGTCAGACCTGCAGCCTTCTACGGTGGAGGGTCCCTGCCACCACTTGGACTGCAATGACTATGGTATGGAGTGTGGAACCCAGAATTCTTTCCTCTGTCTCTTTTCCACATGTGTGTGCCTTCCTCGTGTACCTCGGATCCCATAGAGGGGGTAGCTGTCTTCTCTCTCCCTTGTTTCAGATGCCTCCTGTCACCTCTCTGTTGATTTCCAATGTTGTCTCTTAGACAATCAATCTGAAGGTGGATATCTACTCACCACTTTCAATCCTCTCCATGACAGCTGCATGTACCAGCTGCTTCTAGTCTACCACCTTAGCCAAATTTTTTCAAATCATTAATTCCTGAAAGAATCAGTAATATATTACAACCTATTTGAACGATAACCCAAAGAGTGCATGTGAGGGTGTGTACATGTTGAAATAATACATCTGCTTAAAACATGCAAAATAGGTCAATATCAATAAGTTAATAATCAACTGTATTTCCATGAGACCCAATTTATCTTTCTGTGGAAAAGAATCATTATTACCAGTATTCTACTTATAAAGGTGTAAAATAACTTTACATCTACAATGGATAACCTGGAAGTTATGTTAAACAATGTCCAATTTTCTATTTTCAGCCAGCTGCTTCAAGCTTCTATTCATCCAGCTAGGGCCTCACTTCCTCAGAGAAGCCTTTCTTTACCCAAAGTTGTCCTCATCTATGTTCCAGTAGCACCTTATATTTTTTCACAGAACTTTGCATACTTGAAACTGTTTAGGCTGGGCACGGTGGCTCACGCCTGTAAACCTAGCACTCTGGGAGGCCAAGGTAGGCGGATTGCTGAGGTCAGGAGTTCAAAACCATAGTACGTATTTAATTTATCATTTGGAATTATTTGTTTACTTTCCAAATTCTTTTCCCAGTAAATTCCACATGGACAGGGTTATCTCGGCTTTGCTTATCAGCATAGCTACAGCACTGCACCTAGTCTCTGGTATTTGGTATATATTCAATAAATATTTATTGACAACAAAGAACACTTGGAAAATTTATAAATTTTTAATTAGTTTCTTAACAGCTAGTAATAGTTTTAAACTCACTTTCAAGTAACTAAAAATATGTTTAAATTTTTTGTTATAGAAGATTTTATGATGCATTCAAATTGTTGAATTAAATGAGATGTTCTGAATATATATGCTTGTACAGAGCCATCTAGTGCCCATTTTGTTTAGTGAAACTAAAAATGAAACGACAAAAAAAATCCCCACAACATACTCAATAGTGAGGAATGCATAATCTCCACCTGGTAGCAGCAATTTAAAGCATCAACTGGCCCCTTGAATGACTTTTTTTTTTTCTTGAGCTACTTCTGCCCTTCACTATACAGACATGGAATTAGTCTAATTACTAGATTTCTGGTAACTAAAAATCTGATGAGAAATTTCTATTTAATGTTGTATATTGATCAACTGTGCTGCTACTTGCTCCCTCCTATAATCCCACTAAACTAACAGTAAAGGAATAAAATATGCATAATATATAAGGATAAAGAGAATAGGGTAGGAAACAACCGCAAGTAAGAGATGTAAGCAAATTTGAGAACTTAGAAAGAAGAATGGATGGCAGCTGACATTGCCATTAGAGAAAGCTGAAAACTAAGGAAGACTGTAAAGGAAGTCAGTAGGAAGGTGGCTTCAAATATCTCCAAACTTGAAGGCACTAGTTCCTCTAAAGTTACAGCCCTTCTCAAGAAGCTACTGTAGGATCTATACTCGAACAGAGGATAAGCCAACAAAAAAGGAAAACATCATATTATCCAGGACACACAATAGTTACAATAGTAACATCAAAGATCACTGATCACAAATCACCACAGCAGATGTTATAATAATAATGGTGAAAATATTTGAAAAACTGCAAGAATCACCAAAATGTGAAACAGACACAAAGTGAGAACATATTGTTGGAAAAATGATGCCAACAGACTTGCTCAATGCCACAAACCTTCAATTTCTAAAAAACACAATATCAGCAAAATGCAATAAAGTGAAGCGCAATAAAACAAGGTGCCTGTGGTCGGTAACATATAAAAACAATATTTATTTAACATTAACCATTGAATGGCAGCACTGTCTTTTCCTTTTTAACTTAGCTATATTTCTGGTGTTCACCAATAAACATGACTTACAAATTTTAAAACATTTTAACCATAGTACTTCTGGAAAACAGCAAAACCTGACTAAAATCATACAAGATTCATAAAAATGTTTAACCTTTAAAGCTCAAGGAGAATTTAGGGTTATCTAATTCCACATTTTACACATGAAACAAAGTGTCCAAATAAACAAGTTACTTAACCAAGATCATATCAATTAGTAACAAAACAGTCCTACATCAGAGATCATGTGTCCATTACATGTTAAATTATCTATGAAATATGTTAATTGTTAAATGAAAGCGAAACCTTTCTCACACATAATTGTTTTTTGTTTTTTGTTTTTTTGAGACAGAGTCTCACTCTGTTGCCCGGGCTAGAGTGCTGTGGCATCAGCCTAGCTCACAGCAACCTCAAACTCCTGGGATCAAGTGATCCTTCTGCCCCAGCCTCCCTGGTAGCTTGGACTACAGGCATGTGCCACCATGCCCAGCTAATTTTTTCCTCTATATTTTTTAGTTGTTCAGCTAATTTCTTTCTAGTTTTAGAAGAAATGGGGTCTTCTCTTCTCTTCTCTTCTCTTGCTCAGGCTGGCCTTGAACTCCTGACCTCAAGCGATCCTCTCGCCTCGGCCTCCCAGAGTGCTAAGATTACAGGTGTGAACCACCATGCCCAGCAACATATGATTGTTAAATAACAATCTTCTATATTTCTTTTCAGATGGTTAAGTGAGGTCTTCTGAAAACCAGAAAGGAAAAAATTATCATTACTAATGACCTTTTAAAAATTATTATAATTACGAAAATGGAGAGCTCTAAGCCCCCAAAGGCAATAGGATTTTGTCCAGGAAGAAGGGCTTTTATTAGGTAATATAATAGGTGCAGGAATCTTTTTGTCTCCCAGAGAGATACTGAAATACTTCTCACTCAGTGAGAGAGTCACTCCAACTGTGAAGGCTGCATGTACAATGGCGTGTGTGCTGGCTGCTCTTCGTCATGCAGAGATGGGGACAGCTTTGCTAGAAGTCGAGCATAGTTCTTCATTGTCAATAGATCCCAAGGTTATTCATCTTCCAACCCCCTTACTATCTCGGCTGAATGAGGTGCTTGCAAAACTTTGCTGCTAGCCAAGTTTATTATTCACCCTTTCTATGCCTGGTATTGTAAAGGAGACCATCTAAGAAATTATTTCCTTTGGCAATTTTGCTGTCTTCAGGAATTTTGATTGTTTGAGGTTTGAAGACATGGCTTCACTTCATATGAAGATAATTGTCACCTACTTTTTTTCCGTAACTGGAATTGTGCGCAGATACAGAAAGAAAGGAGCAGAATTAGAAATAGTCTCGGTGATGAGCTTTCTGATTCCTCCAAGAGTGCAGAAGTCTTTAGCCAAGAATTCAGTTCATTGCATATTCATATCTGGAACTCCTGATTGATACAGCAGGAAATATACATATTAAATAAATATGTATATTATATTTATATTTATTTATATTATATTTATTTATATAAATATGTTATATTTATATTTAATAAATTTATATTATATAAATATGTTATATTTATATTTAATAAATTAATATTAAATAAATATGTATATTTATTGACTATAAATATATTAATATATTTAGAAATATATATTGTTTCTTTTCATCATGCTTCATTTGCTTAAATATATATATTATCTATATCTTTTAAAAAAATTTTAATTGTACACATTTATGGGATACAGAGTGATATTTTACTACATGTATACATTGTATAATGATCAAATCACAGTAGTTAGCATAGTCATCATCTCAAACATTTATCGTTTCTGTGTGTTGGGAACATTCAAAATTCTCTTTCTGCTATTTAAAATTCTGTAATTAATTATTAACTATAGTCACCTTACAGTGCTGTAAATCACTAGAATTTATTCGCCTTATCTGGCTGTAATTTTGTATCCATTTACCATTTCTCTTATCCTCCCCTGTCTCCTGCCCTTCCCAAATCTTAATAACCACAATTTTACTCTCCACTTCTATCAGCTCAGCTTTTTAGCTCCCCCATGTGAGTGAGAACATGAGGTATTTACCTAACTGCACTTGATTTATTTCATTTAACATAATATCCTTCAGGCCCATCTATGTTTCTGTGAATGACAGAATTTTATTTCTTTATGGCGCAATATTATTTCATTGTATATATAAGGAATCTTCAAAAAGTTTATGAAAAAAGAGTGTTATTAAAAAACCACGTATGGATTTTAAAATTTTTTCTGCACCAAAATAAACTCATACTAACTTGTTGTGACACGTCTGAACAGGATCTAGTTTGAGGGGCTGAGAAGGATAAAGTATCAGCTTGAAAAGAGCCCCTGGCCAGGTGCGGTGGCTCACGCCTATAATCCTAGCACCCTGGAAGGCAGAGTCGGGCGGATTGCTTGAGGTCAGGAGTTCAAAAACCAGCCTGGGCAAGAGTGAGACCCCGTCTCTAACTATAAATAGAAAGAAATGAATTGGCCAACTAATATATATAGAAAAAATTAGCCGGGCATGGTGGCACATGCCTGTAGTCCCAGCTACTCGGGAGGCTGAGGCAGGAGGATTGCTTGAGCCCAGGAGTTTGAGGTTGCTGTGAGCTAGGCTGACGCCATGGCACTCACTCTAGCCTGGGCAACAAAGCAACACTCAGTCTCAAAAAAAAAAAAAAGAAAGAAAGAAAGAAAGAAAAGAAAAGAGCCCCTAACAGAGCAATGTGAATTCTGCTCAAATTGAAGCAAGAACAAACATAAAATGTATATTGAAATGTGGGCGGATACGTGATGAAATTATTGATGCTGTATGAAAAGTTCATGGCGACAATGCCCCAAAGAAATTAGCAATTTACAAATGGATAACTTGCTTTAAGACAGGATGAGACAATGTTGAAGATGAAGCCCACAACAGCAGGCCATCCACATCAATTTGTGAGGAAAAAAATTAATCTTGTTCATGCCCTCATTGAAAAGGACCAGCAATTAACAGCACAAACAATAGCCAACACCACAGACACCTCAATTAGTTCAGCTTACACAATTCTCACGGAAAATTAAAGTTGAGCAAACTTTTCACTTGATGGGTGCCAAAACCACTGAGCGCACATCCTCTGTAGACAAGAGCAGGGCTTTCAGTGGACAGTTCTAACACGTAGGATTAAGATCCTGAAACGTTTTTTTGAAGAATTCTAACAGGATGAAACATGGCTTTACTAGTATGATCCTGAAGACAAAGCACAATCAAAACAATGGCTGTGAAGAGGTGGAAGTGCTCCAGTCATAGTTAAAGTGGACCAATCAAAACAAACAAACAAACAGGCAACAATTGGGGGATGCTAAAGGCATTTTGCTTGTTGGCTCTCTGGAGGACCAAAGAACAATAACATCTGCTGCTTATGAGAGTGTGTTGAGAAAGTTAGCCAAAGCTTTAACAGAAAATTTCCAGGAAAGCTTCACCAGAGAGTCCTCCTCCACCACAACAATGCTTCTACTCATTACTCTCATCAAACAAGGGCAATTTTGTGAGAGTTTCTACGGGAAATCATTAGGCATCCACCTTACAGTCTTGATTTGGCTCCTTCCGACTTCTTTTTGTTTTCTAGGCTTAAAAAGTCTTTAAAGGACACCAATTATTCTTCACTTAATAATGTAAAAAAGTCTACATTGACATAGTTAAATTCCTAGGATCCTCAGTTCTTTAGGGATGGAATAAATGGCAGATATCATAGCATACAAAAGTGTCTTTAACTTGATGGAGCTTATGTTGAGAAATAAAGTTTATATTTTTTATTTTTGTCTTTTAATTTCATTTTTGCACAAATTTTTGAAATCCCCTCATATATAAAACATTTTCCTTATCCATTCATCTAGTGATAGACACATAGGTTGATTCCATACCTTGGTTATTGTGAATAATGCTGCAATGAACATTCGTGTGCAGATATCTCTTTGATATACCATTTTCATTTCATTTGGACACATACCCAGTAGTAGAATTGCTTGATCATAGAGTAGTTCTATTTTTAACTTATTGAGGAACCTCCATACTGTTTTCCATAATGGCTGTCCTAACTTACATTCCCACACACAATGTGCAAGTGTGCCCTTTTCTCCACATTCTTGCCAACACTTTATGTTTGCCTTTTTTGGTTTTTTTTTTTTTTTTTTGGTGTCAGTCTAGCTCACAGCAACCTCAAACTTCTGGGCTTAAGCAATCCTTCTGCCTCAGCTTCCTGAGTAGCTGGGACTACAGGCATGTACCCCCAAGCCCAGCTAATTTTTTCTATATATTTTTAGTTTTTCAGCTAATTTCTTTCTATTTTTAGTAGAGATGGGGTCTCACTCTTGCTCAGGCTGGTCTTGAGCTCCTGACCTCAAGCAATCTTCCCACCTCGGCCTCTCAGAGTGCTAGGATTACAGGTCTGAGCCACTACGCCAGTCCTCTTTTGCCTTTTTGATAGCAGTCATTCTAAGAGGTGTGAGGTACTATTGCATTGTGATTTTGATTTGTACTTAGGTATTGGTGAGGATGATAATGTAGACAGTAAAGCGTCTATCAGACAGGTAGACCAACATAGACAGAGGCAGTGAAGCATGAGCAGCGGTCTCTTCAGAAAGGCCACCAAGGAAATTGTATGTCAGAAAGTCATGGGATGTGCCCTGAGAAAGTTAGACTAAAACAGATTATAAAGGGTAGTGTGCTTAATAACTTGGACGTTATCTTATAACCCAGGAGTTGGCAAACTAGTGTATAATGTAAGAGTGTTAAGAAAGTACTAGTTTCAACATATCTGTAGCATTGGTTAGTATAACTTAAAAACATACATGGTGTATTATAATTCTCAAAATTGAACAAAATATGCATCTATTTTGTTATAATTTATATTGGATACATCTCTGTTTATTTCATAGTGCTATTTCCTGTTTTCAAAGTATCAGCCAATTTCTACTGCCATTAGTCTATGAGAATTTTAATATTGTTATCAATTTTATGTGCTATTCATATAATTAAGCAATTATCTGTATGTACTTAAAACACCTATTTATTAAAAATAAATTTGCCTTTTATTTTGCATATTTTTCTTTTTAGGCTACTTTAGCTATCTCAATATCCTTAATTTAAAAAGGCAGAAGTTAAACAAACGAATAAAAAATATTCTATTAAATATGATTTATACTTTTTAATGTAGTCAAATTTATTTATCTGTTTCTCTATGATTTCTTGTATCTATTTGACATGACAGAACCCCAGAAAAATCCTCTATATTAGACTTGGGACCCCTTGATACCACTATGTAATGATTTTCCTTCTCATAGAGAGCAGATTATATTTTATTCAGAATTTAATAAACCTCTAAGTAAATTGCTGAGTGATATTTAATATCCTGATCTAAAGTTGGGATTTAAATCTTATTTTCATATCCAAATATTTTACACTATTTGCTAAGAAGTAGGTCATGCCAATGAAAATGATCCCCATCTCTTTTGAAAATGAGATATTAATTCAAAACACTTTTCAACTACCCTCATAAATTAGAAATTTCAGGTCACATATGAAAGAAAAATGAATTAAACAGTGTTCTGAAGGAATTCATTGTTCTACCGTGGTAATCACAGACTTGAGCAACTGAAATCCTTTTTACTTACACCTTTCTATGAACAAGTATATATATTTCTAAAATATATCAATATTTCTTCTTGTCTTCACTGATTGGAGTATTAAATGAAATAAAATTCTTTCTTAATGATTCATTCTGAACATTAGTTTTCATTGCATAATTCTACTGATGTAAATCTCAAATGTAAAGAAAGGAATAGATTGTGGGCTGATTATCAGAATTCACCTTAGAGTTGCTAACTTTTAATGCATGTTCCTTACATAAGTTGCTTACTTGTCACAGTATCTTTCTCTGTAAGTAAAAACTGAGGGAAAAAAGAAGTTATTTGGGTGTTCTAGTCAGCTGAACTAGAGTTCAAAGTTGACTTTTCATTATTAGCTTTTAAAAACCTCTGCAAAACAGATTTTATTATATAAAATAGAATTAGATAAATCTTGCCATTGGATGTATCCTCAAATCTCTTTACCAGAAATCATTAAGAAAACCCAACAATAAGAACAGTAAAGAAAGTGAACTCACAGCTACACTTCACATTCATGAAGCTACTCAGAGCTGAGCATGTGTTGTTTGAGGATCACATGAGAGAAACAATAAAAATATTAACAGGTATAAAAAGGCGTAAGGTGTGAAGCAACAGAGTGGGTCTGGAAGATGATAGTCATTTGATATGATATAAGGAGGGAGGAGGAGGCCAGTTGTAGGGAGGTGAAGAGGTAAAATATTACTCAGGAAGGGCCAGAAGAGCCATGCCAGCCATGAACCACGCTGCACACACTTGTATACAGCAGTGA